TGTAACTTTTGAAAAAACGGATTTTAATTTTCTTTTTCGTTTTTCGTTCTTCGTTTTCGTATAGAATTTGAAAAACGGATTACAAATCGTTTTTCGCTTTTCGTTTTCGGCCAATGGCAGTGAAACTGACATTCACAATCCGTGTACAGTCCGTGTACCTTGGTGCCAACCAATTTTCGATTGTCAGGAGCCCATCACTTGGAGCCTCAACTGCCCTGTATTTTTGTCACGGCGTTTTCACAGACAAGTCTATCTTTAGTTTGAATTTACCGCGAACTAGGGGTGCGTTCCTTTGGGAGGATCCGGATTAGGATTTGTGATTCGAGATCACACAGATCACGGAGCAGGAAAGCAATGGAATTTTAGACGAGCTCTCAGAGAATTCCAAAAAGTGCGCTATTTTAAGACTTGTGTATGCACGTGGGTTATTGAGCTCTTCCCTGAATGGCTCGTCTAACTGCACGGGCTTTTAGCGCGCACAATTATTCTAATTAGCAATATTCATTAGAAGCACATTTTTCATAGTAAACTCAAACGATGGACAGAAGTAAGTATTGATTATGATATGGATACTTGGGAACCCTGAATGCCTGCGATCAGTGGCCGATCGATTTAACATGACAAAATCGATCTTATTTCGTGTTAATCGCAGAATTTGTGGTGCGATTGCCAGGTACTTCACATATTGACAGGAAAGATTGTTATTGATTTGAAATTGAGCACCGCTGGGCAAAATGATGAATTTCGGATCCTTCGCCCAAAGGAACGCTTAGGATCAGTGATCCGATGATCCGTCTTTTGATCACGCAGACCAGTGATCCGATGAATCCTTGTCCAGAGTGGATTTGATAGATCACTGATCTGAAAATGGATTTGCTCGAAAGGAACGCCACAGATCAGAAATCCTGATCCGGATTTTCCCAAAGGAACGCACCCTAGGACTCCCCACGAGAGCACATCGACCAATCAAGCCTGGTTAGTTTCTAACTTTACTCACTAAGATATCGAAAGAAAAACAGCAGAGAGATGTCGTGTGAGCAAAGGCGTCCCAAGCTCACGTCTCGATAAAAAGCAAACGATTAGTTCATGAAAGCGTCACATGTTGTGTGACTCGGTGTTAACTTACGGGAGGAACCGTTGAGAATTTGAACATGTTATAAGGAATAGCATGGGGAACGAAATATGGTCGATTTACAACGATAAATATTTCGAAATATGAACATTTTACACCTTAAATCAATAGAATCTAGTCACATCTTTTGTGTCCATTGTGGTTTCCGGCGTTCTCTGCCGTTTTAAGGTTGCTTTGCCGTCTCTGTTATTCCGGTTATACATCGGTCAAAATAGAGGTGCGCAGCATTGACTTCGTCTTATAACAGGAATAACAGTGAGCTTGAGACGCTTGCGGTGTGAATATTTTGAAAAAACCTCGGGAAGCAGTAGTTCTGAGGAAAGTTCTGGTGAAGATGAACCTGACTCTTGACTGTTCAATGATCAAAGCGACAACAGGCACCGTGAATTTTGCTGCATGCGGCAATTATCGACCGCACTTCACAAAAATAACCAAGATTTGACAAGATCGAAGCCCAATTCGAAAGAGTAGCATTATCTTGCGATCTAGAAAAACTCTCTTCATTTTGTTGTACCCGCTTCTGTTCAATCCTGCGTCGCAAAATTTCCTTTACGGACTGTGTGGATAAAGATTCTTAAGATGAAGACAACTCGCACACAGCTTACTGACGCAATTTCTTGTTTCCGCGCTCTCCATCATCGCTGGCATTTCGCCTCTTCATCGTCTTGAATTTGGACTCTTTTCATGAAATTTTCTTTAGAGGGGCCAGAATCAGAAGACGGATGACCTTTGATACACGCGAAAATAAAAAAGATAAATACAAATAATAATACGACAATGATCCGCACTCCTGCGAATTCAGTTCGCAAGTGAAAAAAATTTGCAAAGGATACTGGGATATATAAGGAAAGGAAGGATTGGAATACTGGAATACAGCAAAAGAAAGACGGAATTTGCGTAGTTTAGATATGAAGACGTCCCCGCATAGGGCCGCCATTTTTTTCTTCGCGTTTCATGGATCGTATTACCCAAGTGAGCTCGAGTAGCCTATTTTCCGCGAAAAGATAGTCTAAAAATAAATCGTTCTGTGAAAACGCCGTGACATAGGCCCAGTGTGGGAGTTGAACGCTCCAAGTAATGGCTCCTGCAATTGAAACTCAAATTTCATTTTCGTTTTTCTTTGCAGTAAAAAAACAGAATTGGACTTCCATTTTCGTTTCTCTTTTTTTCCCGCCGGGAAGGAAACGGAATTCGAATTCACTTATTACACCGATTCCTCAAGTGCTTTTATTTTGTCTTAAAAGTGTCTCGTGGACTGGTAACGAATTAGTGGGTGATGACGTAGAAAACTGTGAAAACTTTCAGTTGACTCTTACAAATCTCTCACATTCTTTTAATTTTGTATCAATCAGCGTTGAAATACTCTTGAAATTATGACCGATAGCGATGTATAGCTACCTTCAGCAAGTTCTACCGAGAGTTGTGATATATCGAACTCAGGTAGCAAAGAATAAATTGGAAGTTGCGAGCACGGTTCAGCCCTACGAAGGAGAACCGCGTGCATCAAACGAAGATTTCGACGAAGACTTCGACGAAGACTGACAAAGGCGGTTTCTTGCCTGCGGTTTTCAGGTCAAGAAAAGAACAAAAAAATCCCTTTACTGAATATTTAGTTTGTTGCGTTTGTGTTTTGTTTCTATGGCGAAATCTATGTTAAGAATGGGTAGTGTGTTCGTTTCCGTTGCCATACCATTTCATTCTTTCGCACTAAGTGCGGCGAAGGTTCCCCTTGCTCGGTGCTCTAGAGTTTCGTTGCTGTCGAGTAATTCCCATAGTAAACCAAAGCGAACTTTTGACGAAAGAATCAGCTGTATCACGAGGCACGATGATTTTTCGCCGAG